AAGCATATAGCTGTGGCACAGAAACAGTGAAGGGGGATTTTTAACACAATTTAACAAGTTGGGAGGTAGGGCACTGTCCCTTCCCACAGCCTTATGAATGAAAGAGATAAGCACATAAACTTAAAATCATATTTGTGGCTCTCCATACTTTTATAAAAAAAAAATCCTGTAGAATTTAGTAGGGTTTAACAAATAGGATTCTATAAAAATGTAATAGGTGCTACAGAAACAACTTTAGAACTTCCTACAGAACTTAATATAAAATGCTAACCTTGATTTAGGTTTGTTAATTATTTCATAGAAATCTGTAGAAGGGATATAATTTTCTGTGTAATATAGTTCATTAAATTCCAGAGGACTTTTCTGTAAGTGTGTGTATTCATGTGTGTATATATACTCAAAAACCAGCTGGAAACACACAAACTAGTTCATAATTAAAAGTGTTAACTCAAACAACCTGCAAGAAGTTTGAGAATTATTTGACCTATTTCTTTAATAACCTCTTTAAACATTTACTGTAGCATCTTTCTCTAGCATTGTTGATTAATGTGGATTCAGTTGCAGTGAATAGTAATTATAAATGTCAAAATATTTCAGAACACCCCACTGCAATATTAAAAACCCTTTAACAGTGTTTCTTAGATGAGACATAAAACTTAGGTCCTGGCCACCTGGGGTCATTAAAACTGATGTACTTTTTTGTAAAGTAAAAAAAAGTTGTTTAACCAAGCTTATTTTGCCCATCTGAAATTCTCTGTGAATTTCAACTGGATATTGTGTTGTCCTTCATTCCCTACCCTACCATGTTATGTAGTGTTGCTGTGTTTCCTACAGTGATAGAGAAGTGATTCCTAAATATGGTGCCTTTCAACAGGAAATTTTCCTGAGTAAGGACTGCAGGATCACACCCAGATTTGTAAAGTACTTTGGGATCCTAGTGGATGAAAGGAGCTATTGAAATAGAAGAGCGTTATTACTAAACTTGACATTTAGAAGCTTTAATCATTTTAGTTCTTATGTTCAGAAAAGACGCAGCTAATGTTGCCCTAGGGGACAATTCTCAGGACATTAGCAGCTATTGAAGGCTGCTGACTGTAAAATATGACTGTATAAAGTGCAGCTGAGTAGAGGAAATTGTAAACCAAGGTCAATACAAGAAATTGAAGATGTTTTCTTAAAATATCCAGGCTCTCTCAACGTACCCCTGAGTTGCATGCATGCCAGTCTGCTAGGAGACCAACAGTTTATCTAGTCTAAAGCAGGATTAACTACCTTTATTAGTATCAATGGACAATCAAGGTGTGCTAGGCACATCAAGGGGATAGCGTAAATGAAGAAAAATCCTCAAAGTGGAACAATGAGGCTTCTGTTCCCTGGGTTTCATGGAACATTCCCTTCTCATGCAGGTTTTCCTGAAATGAGCTTGCACAGTAGTTCAAGCGTTCAGTGTGTATATATATCTCCTCAATATATGTTCCATTCTATATGCATCCGAAGAAGTGGGCTGTAGTCCACGAAAGCTTATGCTCTAATAAATTTGTTAGTCTCTAAGGTGCCACAAGTACTCCTGTTCTTTTTGCGGATACAGACTAACACGGCTGCTACTCTGAAACCTGTCACAGTAGTTCAGTCAGCTACTCACTTGTCTCTACAGAAAAAAGAAAAACAAAACCTAGATTCAAGGCCTGGTCTAATAAACCATTACCTGCTGCAACAAATGATGCAGTTACCCCTTGGAACTTAGACAGCTGACTTCCCAAAGGAAGAAAATTAAAAATGATAGCCAAGACTATTAAATTAGAAAGTCTCTACTTTGTTCTTGTGGCTCTATCCATTGTTCCTGCGTATATTTTTTGCTAATGTGATACTAGTTCTCTTCAGTGATAAGCTCCCAAAATCCTAAGAAACGGTTGCCTACTGGGTCCTCGGTGGCGGGAGGGGGAGAGGTCTTCACTTGCTCCGGGTTTTCGGTGGCATTTCGGCGGCAGGTACTTCACCCAGAGCGAGTGAAGACCCACCACCCCCCGCCGCCAAAGACCTGGTAGGGAACTGCGCGGTGAGTACAAGTTCCACATGCCTGTCTCTCACACACCCATCCGACCCCAACCCACGTCCTGCCCTTGACTGCCCCCCTCAGAACCCGCAACCCATCAACCCTTCCGCTCCTTGTCCCCGACCACCCCTTCCTGAGACTCCCCATCCTAACTGCCTCCCTGTTCCCTGTCCCCTGACTGCCTCCCTCAGAGCCTCTGCCCCCTCCAACTGCTCCCTGCACCTTATCCAACCCCTCCTCCCAGCCCCGGCCTGGCCCCCTTACCATGCTGCTATGTAAGGATGCCGCGCAGCAACTGGAGCTCGCAGCCCTACCCCCTTACCATGACGCTCAAAGCAGCAGGAGCTGCTGAGCTGCCTAGAGCGCTGGCACCTGCAGCACGGCATGCTGTGGCTCTGCAAGGAGAGGGGCCAGGGGAGCCTCCCCAGCTGGGAGCTCAGGTGGGCCGGGCAGGACGGCCCGCGGGCCAGATGTGGCCTGCGGATCGGAGTTTGCTCACCCACCCACCCCTTTAGGAACCGGTTCTACACCTGCTTCTAAATTTAACAACCGGTTCTTGTGAACCGGCTCCAGCTCACCACTGGTTATCTTTCTATTTCTAACATTCCCATTGCCATGGCTTGTAGTAACTGAATAAAGGGTATGCCATGATATCTAGAAGCTAAAGTTGTCCAAAGAGACCTGACCCTCTCCAATCCTCCATGCTTCTTTCATTTTGTTTTTCTCTATTCATCATCTTCTTCCTAATTTTTTCCCACCTTATTCTCCGTATCTGGTCATGTGAAAAAAAAAAGTAGTTTAAAGGACAGCGGGGCATTTTCTCCAAAAATTGCATTGTGTTCTGAAAACACTGTTTGGTCTCCTGCAGTTATGAGTTCCATTGTCAGGAATCTTCTTACTACTTATTATTTATATTACAGTGCTATTGCCCCAGTTAGGATTGGGGCCACATTGTGCTGCCACTATACAAACATAAAATAAAAAAATCCCTGCCCTACAGAGATTGCAGTCTAAATGACCATCAAGAAAACTCTGTCCCAGGGTCCCAAGAGTCTCATCTTGGCTCTGTCAATTGCAAAGTTCTTCCAGAATGCAATGTTCTCAGTGGGTAGCACTGGAGAGGCAATCTCTAATAACCATGGCCTACTTTGCCCCCTTATTCACAGTAAGTAGTGCCACTGAAAGCAATACTAAGGTACTACACAGTGTGAGGATAGCAAAATGTGTTTTAGGGGATTTCTAGATTGGGATGAGGATTTCAATTTGGTATGACATTAATAGAAAGTGGACCCAGAAATAAATAGGAAGCCAGTGGATCATGTGGTGCTTAGAGTGATGTGCTCTCAGTCTCTTAATGTGCCAGTGGCTATATGTTATACATGTTGAATGTCCATAATGCCTTTTCACCACCAGAAATCTAAACTGGAACTGAGGAAAGACATTGATCATGATGGAAAGGTCATTGTCTCAAAGGGCAGAATATTCTGGCCACCTGGAGATGGGAGAAGGTCATCCTCACCGCTGTTGCAGTCTGTGTTGTCCAGCAACAGAGAAGAGTACAGTATGATGCACACCTACTTGATGGGCAGATGACTTAGAATGTTATCCTCTATTGAGGACAAGGTTTCAGTCACCTCTCCAGAATGTCTGTCTCTTCCTACCAATATCAATTCTGTCTTACCTGGTTTAGGCTTGAGTCAGCTGTTTTTCATCCATTTATTTAAGTCTTTTAATCAAGACTAGAGAGCTTTCTAAAAGATATGCTAGCTGTAGCTCAAGCAGAAATTATGGGACTGATGCAGATTTTTGGGGCGTTAGGTACTACGGTCTGTGTTATGCAGGAGTTCAGATGGAATTATCCTAATGGTCCCTTCTAGACTTAAAATCTATTAATCTATTTTTCTTCAAGGCATTATGAGATCTTGGTCATATCTGTAGAAAGACAGATGTTAAGATGGGAATTATCAACATACTATTGATTCTGAATTTGTCCACAAAAATTATTAGAAAATATGAGGGAAGATTGAAAAAATTGGGTTTCTTCAGTCTGGAGAAGAGAAGACCAAGAGGGGACATAACAAATTTTTAAATACAGGAGGAAAACTGTTCTCCTTAACCTCTGACAGGACAAGAAGCAATGGGCTTAAATTGCAGCAAGGGAAGTTCAGGTTGGACATTCGGAAAAACTTGCACTCAGGGTGGTTAAGCACTGGAATAAGTTGCCAAAGGAGATTGTGGAATCTCCGTCAGTGGAGATTTTTAAAAGCAGGTTAGACAAACATCTGTAAAGGATAGTCTAGATAATACTTAGTCCTGCCATGAGTGCAGGGGACTGGGACTAGATGACCTGTCTAAGTCCCTTCCAGTGCTACAATTCTGTGTGTTAACAGGGTCAAATTTATGAAATTCTATCCATGTCTTTATCCTCACTAATGCTGTAGCTGAGCATTCCACAGGCTACCGTAGGGTCACTCAACACCTGTCCGATTGGGCACTGCTGTTAACCCTGTTCCTCAGATGGGGAACGGAGGCACAGAGAGGCTAAGTGACTTGCCCAAGGTCACCTGGCTTCTGTGGCAAAGCAGAGCATTGAACCCCACTCTTCTCCCCTACCCACTAGGCCATCCTGCCTCTAGCCCCATAGGCACGGAGCACGGGGGCAGCGCTCTGAGCATTAATCCCTTGCACAGCAGTAGCACCCACGGGCCGGCTGTGCAGGGCGCTGCACAGAGGCAGTCCATGCCAGCAGCCCTGGCGCCGAGCAGGACAGGGCTGTAGCGGAGGAAGACGGCCAGAGGAGGAGGCAGCCTGCACGCCAGGCGCCGTTGCCAGCGCAACCCTCCGCCCGCGCAGCTGCACGTGCCACTGGCCGACCACGCACCGACGTGACCCTGTCTCGCGCACGTCAGCTCGCCTCGGAATCGCACCCCCGCGCGGCGCCCGCCATCGCCCCTTTAAGGCTTATCTTATCTCCGAGCCGTGACGGCGGGGGGCGCGGCCCGGCCGGGGGCGTGGTCTGCAGCGTTGGGCCAGTATAAGAAGCGGCAGCGAGCCGCGGGCGGGCAGGACTGACTTGGAACTTGCTAGCGGGGTCTGAGTGCGGCGCACGCGCAGTGTCCCCCAAGGCGGGCAGGGATATGCGGAGCCGGGGCCCCGTCTGGGTGAGTGATTCCCGTGGCCGCCGGGCTGCGGCGGGAGGAGCCGAGCCCCCCCTCGCCCCCCGCGCGGGGCGCTCCAGGGCTGCCCCACCAGCGACCCCGGGCTCGGCCCCCACTGGCGGGAGCGCTCGTTGCCATGGCAGCCGGGCCCTCTTGCGAGGCGCGGGGGCCTCTGGCGCCTCGAGCCTGCGGCCGCCGGGACTGAGCAGTGGCGGCTCGGGGAGAGGCCGCTCCCGCAGCGCGGCGGGCCTGGAGCGAAGGCGCGTCGCGCCCCGCGGCTGGCAGGGGCTGCGCGCCTTGGCCGGGCGATGCCAGCGCTTGGGGTGGGCGAGCCGCGGCGCCGGCCGAGCAGCTCCCGGGGCCGGCAGGCCCGTGACTGGCGGGTTAGTCACGCACCCGTGGCTCGGGCTGGGGCCGGAGCTGTGCGGAGGCGTTTGGGTGTTTTCAGGTGCACCTGCCAGCCCGGTGGGGCGGGACTGGTGACCAGGCGGCTGTCGGGGGAGGGGAGGCTGAAGCCCGAAGTGCCCAGCGGCTTCCGGGCCCCCCGAGACAGGCGGCGCTCGGCGCTGCGGGTCAGGGGCCGTTTAACGCGGGGGCTCTTCAGCGTCGGTTTTGATCCAGGCTCTAGCAGAGCCTTCTGGCTTCCCGCAGGCTGGACTGCGTCCTAGGGCTGAGAGTCTAGAGATGCCGGAGCTCGTGACTTTTTGTTTAAGTTGTACTTTAAGTCACTGGTTCTCAAATGTCATTGCACCGAGACCCCCTTCTGACAACACTAATGACCTCAGGAGGGAGGACTGGAGCCCGAGCCCCACCGCCCTGGGCTGAGGGGCCAAAGCTGAAGCCCAAAGGCTTCAGCCTTGGGCAGGGGGCATGTAACTTTAGCCTCCTGCCCAGGGCTGAAGCCCTCAGGCCTTGGCCTTAGACCCCAGCAAATCTAACACCAGCCCCAGGGACCCCATTAAAGTGGGTTCATGATGCACTTTAGGGTCCTGACCCACAGTTTGGGAACCTCTGCTTTAAGTGCTTCCCTAAGTTCAATTACAGATACTGGGCTCATAGCACAGCTTGCGGCCTGTGACTAAAACTTTAGCTCCAAGTTCTCTGGAAGGCAAGGGAAGTTTTTTAGTCAGTCTTAACCATTAATTGTTTACCTTATTTCAGACTAGTCACAGTGGTCCTGAAAGAGAAAAAATAAGTTTGTAATGATAGGTTATAGGACAAACTAAGTTACAAAATTACCTAACTTTTGAGTCACCTGCCAGTATTTGAAGACAAGATGATTTGGGTCCAAAAATTAGTGATTTTTACTTTTGTTGATCCAAAAAAGATGACGCTTGTCTCCTTTCTACCCTTGCTTCTCTTGGTCATAATTATTACTCTAACTTATTATTTAATAAGGTATTCAAGTGCAATGGTTAACTAAATTATTTGGATTTTAGAATGGGATGGGGAGACATTTTCCTGAAAATGTTTATTATTTAACCTGGCCTCATACTGGATGTTTTAGTGCTATTTGAGCAACTGCAGGCAATTTAATTACATTAATTTTGCCAAGTAGTAAAATTCACAATATATAAAAGTTGCAATTTTAAGCCATGATCTTATATCACCTAGGCATATGTGTAACTTTACTCACATCAGTACTCAGTGACTTCAATGTGCTTAAGTATTGCACCAGCATTGAGGCCCCCATTCTTCATCCTAAAATGTTGTTGGCACATTAACAAAACCTTTTCTTCTGAATGAAGAAACTGAGACAGAAAAAGATAATTTATTTTTGTTTCTTTGAAAGCTAGTAATTGAAATTGCAGATACAGCTTTACATGAAGAAGAATAGGAGTACTTTTGGCACCTTAGAGACTAACAAATTTATTAGAGCATAAGCTTTCGTGGATTACAGCCAGCTGCT